TTTTTTATTTCTTTATAATAACCAGGGCGTAAGTATTATATTATAATTTAACTTTTACAACACAAAATAAACATCATTTGTTTTTTTATTTCTTTATGATAACCAGGGCGTAAGTATTATATTATAATTTAACTTTTACAACATAAAATAAACATCACCTAATTAATTAATTTGTTTTTTTATTTCATAGATTGTAAGCATTATATTATAATTTAACTTTTACAACACAAAACAAACATCATCTAATTAAATATTTTGTTTTTTATTTCTTTATAATAACCAGGGCGTAAGTATTATATTATAAATTAACTTTTACAACACAAAATAAACATCATCTAATTAATTAATTTGTTTTTTTATTTCATAGAGGGTGGGTATTATATTATAATTAATTTTTACAACACAAAATAAACATCATCTAATTAATTAATTTGTTTTTTTATTTCATAGAGTGTAAGTATTATATTATAATTTAACTTTTACAACACAAAATAAACATCATTTAATTAATTAATTTGTTTTTTTATTTCTTTACAATAACCAGCTGGTGAGTATTATATTATAATTTAACTTTTACAACACAAAATAAACATCATCTAATTAATTAATTTGTTTTTTTATTTCATAGAGAGTAAGTATTATATTATAATTTAACTTTTACAACACAAAATAAACATCATCTAATTAAATAATTTGTTTTTTTATTCTTTATAATAACCAGAGCGTAAGTATTATATTATAATTTAACTTTTACAACACAAAATAAACATCATCTAATTAATTAATTTGTTTTTTATTTCTTTATAATAACCAGAGCGTAAGTATTATATTATAATTTAACTTTTACAACACAAAATAAACATCACCTAATTAATTAATTTGTTTTTTTATTTCTTTATAAGAGCGTAAGTATTATATTATAATTTAACTTTTATAACAACTAAATAAACTTAATTTTTTAATTCTTTATAATAACCAGCTGGTAAGCATTATATTGTATCATAAATCAACTTTTATAATTTTTATATCTAATTAATAAGTTTTATTTTTATTTATTTATAATAACCAGTTGGTAAGTAGTATATTATAAATTAACACAAAAATAAACTTATTAAAGCATCATTTAATAAATCTTTTTTATATAACCAGGGAGTAAGTATCATATTATAAAATTAACTTTCATAACACAAAAATAATTTTTTATTAAAACATCAATTAATTAATAAATTTATTTTTCTTTATAATAACATAATAACCAGCATGTAAGTAACTTTTACAACACAAAAATAAATTTTTATAACATCATCTAATTAAATATTCTTTATTTCTTCATAATAACAGTTGGTAAATATTATATTATATTATATGGGGGCTGTTCTAGGAAAAAGTGGGTTTCTTCAGATTTTTTGTTTTTGAGATATTCATAAAAACAAAAA